CCGTCCTTTGTTACGCCGGGGACACCCCTGGAAGGCCAGCCCAAGGCCCACGGGCACATCTGGCCTTCCGAAAGCAGTCCACAGAGCCATCCCGGCCTCTTTGCCGCCGAGACACTGTGAGGTCACACAGGCAGGACACAAAACCCGCACGCAGCAACCCCCCGCAAGGCGCCCCGAGCCCGAGTGCCCACCGCCAACTCCCACCCCAAATCCGCTCGCGGGCGCAGGACCTGTTCAGGTGTGAACACTTATGTAATCGTCCTCGGGGCCACGCCTTTCCCACCGCCCCACCTCCGCCAGAACAAAGTGAAGTTTAAAATAGAAACCAATTACCTGGCCTCCGCCGAGCCTCGGCCCCGGCAGCCCGGTCCACGCTGCCGCGCAGGCCCCTAGCCCGGCCCGGCCCGGAGCCCCGCGCAGACCCCAGTTCCGGACCGGCCCCGCCCCCTCCCCGGCCCCGGCCCCGGCCCTCCACACCCCCATCCGCTGGCTCCCCCACCCCGCGGCCTGCCCTTCCCCCCACAGCCCCCTCTCTCCTCCTCCGGGGCCTGCTCCCGCCCCCGCCGGCTCCCACCGCCCGCCCCGCTCGCCCCCGCCCCCGGCCCGCACAGACCCCCGCCTTTGTTGTGGTGCGAAGTTAGGCTGCGGGTCCCCGTCTCTTTCACTTCTTGGGTTACAGTGAAGGCGTGTGACGTCCACTCCACATGACGGGGGCGGGGGGCGGGGGGCGGGCGCTGGGGGGCGGGGGCGGCGGGCCAGGCCCTCCCCGCGCTTCTCCGCCCCTTCCCGCCCCGCCCACAGCCCTCCTCCTGGCAGCCCAGCAACAAGCGGCCACCGCCCCCACCCCGGGGCGGGCAGGTGAGTTCCCCCGCCCCCGGCCCGCCCCCGACCCGCCCCCAGCCCACAGGGCCGCCCCGCGCTCCCGCCCCCTGCCCGTGGCCACGCGCACCCCAGATCCCCCAGTGGCGCCCCAGGCCCAGCGCCGCTGCAGCTCAGACACACCGAAATAGGAATGATTTAATCCAACGACACCTCCTGGGGCTGCCCAGTCCCGGTTCCGCCAGCCCCTGAGCCTGGGGAGGGGCAGAATCGGGTGGAACTCGGGTCGGGGGGCGGAAATGGCCCGAGTGGGAGGGAAGGCGAGGGGTTGGACACTACCTTGTAACCGACTTTGGTTCTTGCAGAAGGGTAGGACGAAGGTCGCCCACGGACCCTCGGGTGACCTCGGTGCGGCCTAGTGGCCGGGCACACCCGCGCGTGGACGAGGTCCCTCCCAGGGGTCTCCTTGCAGGGGTCTCCGGGGAGGGAGTGGGCACGTGGGTCCTTAACCCCTCCATTGCATCATCCCCATCCCGGTGGGCAGACAGGCGCAGCCAGCCTGCGGTGCTCCCGGAAGACACCGCGTCTCCAACGTTTACGCAGAGATGTTGCTCGGCTCAGGTCGGGTCCGTACGCTTGCCGAGGTGCGTACTACGCGAGCCACACACATCACTCCCGATATTCCTGGGAAAGTCGGTGCCACAGTCAGTCAGCTGCAAGCGTGGGGTGGCCGGTGACGCGCTCTGCCGGTGAAGACACCCATTGTGCGGGACAGGCGCGGCCAGGGCGCAGCGTCCAGGGCGCAGCGTCCAGGAGGTGGGTAGGCAGCCGAACTTTCACTGGCCACGAGCGCTTCACCTTCCAGAATCTGCCAGAGACTAAGCATCAACTCCCAGGGAGAAAATAAAATGTGAAGTTGGAAGACACACGCTGCCCTTCACTTTTCTGCGGAGTTCACATCGGTTTCCGCAATCCGCGTTCTCCGTTCGCTTTGCCCTGGCGAGTGGGCTCCATCACCTGGACCGCAAACGCATCAGGGCGCGCCCGCCGGGGGCGAGGCCAAAGAAACCGCACGTTTCGAGTCCCCAGTTGCTGAGAAACAATCACAGCGCTCCTCTTTTCTTCCCCTGCTGCTGCAGGTTCCGACCTAAATCCGAAAGTGCTTCTAAATCCCATGCTCCACAGGAGGTTCGGAGGGGGAGGCGCTCGGTGGGGACTGCTGCGTGCCCATGTAGCCGAACCGACTCGAATAAAAGCGTGTCCACGTCTACATGACACATCTGTGCAAATGCAGAAGCCTGCGGATGCTCGGGGCTGGCCAGACTTCAGTGTGCAGACACATGGGCTCATGCACGCGCGCGCGCTCACACACACTCACATCCCAAATTACCTCCGGGATGGAGAAAGCCGCAGCGGATAGGCCAGCAGAACCGTCACTCACGCCCAGGGGGCAGGGACACTTCGCAAAGCTGTTTCCTTTTTTTTTTTTTTTTTTTTCTCCTCCTCTTCTCCCTACCGTTTCATTTAATGGTAAAACAACAGCAGAGCTCTGAAAGTTAGCCATCTGCGCGGAGTTTGCCTTCTTTAAGGAGGGAGGCGTCAGACGATACCATTTAAATATATTTTGTACTTCCACAAAGGATGGAAAGGGAAATTAACGATGGGAGTGGAGGCGGAAAGGGAGCTCCGAGTAAGAAGGAGGGGTCATCCCGCGGGGGGAGGGGGGCCGGGGGCCGACGCAGGGGAAAGAGTTGTTCTCCACACCGAAGAGGGACTTTGACCTTCCATTGATCTCGAAATTAAAAAATGTTTTTCACAGGTCAGATTGTAACCAACACTCGTTCCTAATTTATGAACTCGTCGTTTTGATTTTATTATTTGGCATGCGCCAGCAATCGTGTTTCCTTAAGAAAGAACTGACCTATTTTTGGCTGGAGATAAACGATCATGTTAACAGATGTTAATCTTGTAATCTGTTTTTCCTGTAAGCACTTTACCTACCCGGGTTTCAGACCTTAAAAATAACATCTTTTCCAAAAAGACCTGACGTCACAATTGACTCCCTGAAAAATCACACTCCCCCTCCAGTTTCTTCCCCTGCAATGATTTCAAAGACGTTCAATCTTTTCCACTTTATAAATGCTGATCTGTTCTGCCTCTACTCCCACAGGCTTTTATTTGCATTTCAAATTCCACAGGTTACACCAGTCGCCTTTTCAAAAAAATATAAACCAACAATGAAGCAGCAAATGGCTTTTTGTGCATCTGGATTAAATAAAACACAGAATGGATATATTTAAAAAGAAGGCTGCGCAAGTTGATCTTCGCACACCCGGAGACCCAGTGACTCTTTATCAGCGGAATGAGTAAGACACACACACAGCCCCCAGAGCTCCCGGTCTGATCCTGGGCGGCTGCGGGAAGCTTATTAACGCTGATAATGGATGGGGCTGACTTACAGACCCACATTTTTCGGGTAAAAGGCTGGTTCCCTCTGGTTCCTAATTGCGGGGGTCCACTGGCTTTCCTCGGCGCACACCAGCCTTCCTCCATCGACTGCTGCTTTTAAAAACCCCACTCGGCTGCCGGGTAACAAACTTATTCATACAAAGTTTCTTTAAAACTTGACGAGGCGGTTTAATCTAAATACTGATCGTAACTATCCAGTCTGTTAGTTCTCCCTGGAAATGGCAGCGGAGGCGCCTCCCCCACCTCCCGCCCAACCACACACACCCCACCGCATTCTTCCTTCATACACCCGGGTTCATCTCGCCACCGAGGCCTCCCCCACCCGCACCCGGCGGGGCACAGCTCCAAGGAGTCCCTGCCCACCCCTCTCCGAGTCCGTGCCAGACCCTCGCCCCCACCCCCACACCCGCCTGAACTTCCCTTCCAGGACCTCTCACTTCTTGAACGTTAGGGTCACTTAGAAGCTCCCACCAGACTGGCAAGCAGCCGGGGAGGGGGCTGTGAAAAACAAGCCCCCTCCCACCCCACCCCCCCTCGGCAAACGCGTCCCCTAGGCAGCAGCGCTCGGTGCCCACAGGCATCGATCCCATCCGCCAAACCCTTAATAATTGAAGCGGCTCCTCAGGCCCGCAGCCCCATCACCCACCTTCATTAGCCGGAGCGTTTTACTTTAAAGTAAGGCAATTTGCTCTTTGTCTCCTAATGGATGGAGAGCGCATCCGAGCTCCCCTCCTCCCGCGTCGCCTTTGACGAAGTGTACAAAGCCAGAGCCTCTTCCGCGCTCCCACCCCGGCCCCCACCCCGCCCCTCCACTGCGGTAAAAACCACCTCCCGGGCGCTCGCCCCGCCGCCCGAAGTTGCATCTTCTACTATCCTGGAATTGCAGAGCAGAGCAACTACCCACAGGGAAAGCCAAGGAGCCCTCCCCGCGCCCGGGGAGACCCTCCCCGGCGCACCCCCCCCCCGGCGCCCCCCCCCCCCCCGCCCCCAGCGGCGCACACGGGAATCCCGGGCACGTCGAGGCTCCGGGCCCCGCGCCCACCGCCTGCCAGCGGCCCCTGCGGCGCAGCCTTCCCCCCGCCCGCGGCCCCTACCTTGGCGGGGAGGCGGCGTGCCTGGGGAGCAGGACGCGCACGCCCCGCGCATCTGAAGGTGAAGCCGAGCGCCCGCGGCGCGGAGCCGAGCGCTGCTCTAGACCGACCGCGCCAGCTGCGCCCGGGCGCGGGGGACGCGCGAGGGCGCGCGGGGCCCGCCACGCGCCCGGCCCCCTCCCCGCGCCGCCCGCGC